CCCTCACATGATTTTGAATTAAAGTGCTACCAATATATTTTCTGTCCAAATAGACAGAAATTGTGTTATATGCATCTGTTTCAAGGTTGGGGAAGAACATCTTTTCATCAAAGTCAAATTTTAATGTATATGAACAATGATGATTTTTTTGTGGTTGTTTCTAAAATTTTTGATTTGTGTACTCTGAATTAAGTTATGTGAACATGGAAATAATTATATATTTTGCTGCAACCTACTCATTTCCAGTGGTTGTGGTTGTATTTTACAGGAGTGGCAGTTGTATTTTATACTATTACAATGAAGAGGGTACATAAGTCATTTTGCATTTTCCATTTTCCATTTTCCATTAACTGAGTTAATTGGGAGCTTCTATTTACACACCACCATCTTTCTCAGTTCACTCCATTTTGTTCGTTCAGATTTTAATTACCCAATAAAAATCAATTATATCAACTACCGAACAAAAATGAATTGTTCCAATATCAACTATTGAAGTGGGTTTTTTGTTCGATACTTGATATACAAACAATGAATTTGTATTCGATAGTTGATATTTGAACCAAAAAATTTATGTGAATTGAGAATTTTTATGGTGTGTAAATAGAAGCTCCCCGAGTTAACTACACAATTTTGTCCAAAACCATGTAGGAGATATTTAGGCTAAATTTAAGGGGTAAATTACACTTTACCCCCTACACTACCACCTTGAACTATTCATTTGTATCAATATGAACCTTCCATTAAAATTTGTTTACATAAATAGATGTAAAATTAACATGTGTGTTTCCCATGACATTTCAAATATAGTGAAACGCTTAAAATGATCTTATTCTTCTCATCCCCTCTCTCTTTCACTTCTTCCCTCAATTTTTCTACCCATGAGAGCAGCCATGGCTGCTGATGTGTGTAGGAGAAAATAGGGGAATTTTTTTTTTTAAATAATGTTATTTTAGGCATTTCACAATATTTGAGCACATGTGAGTTTTCCATCCATTTATGTAACCAATCCTTAACAAAGATGGTTCATATTGATATAAATTAATAGTTCAAGTTAGCAAAGTATAACAATTTTTAGTTGAGGGGGCAAGGTAATATTGTGCAATAGTTTAAGGGGTAAAGTGTAATTTGCCCATTTTTAAAAGACAAGAAGTGACGCAGAGGGGTTAAAGTGTATTTTGGCTAAATTATAGTAATAAAGGGATAGGGCCCCAAACCAAACAACACAAGATAAAGGGCACTTGCCCATTTGGTTAAACCACCAGGTGGGCAAACAGTGACATTATGAAGATTCTACTCTCTCTCTCTGTGTGACCTGAGAGTATGAGGCGGCATAATCATAGTCTAGAGGACAAAGTTTCAATAGACTCCAGCAAAACCATTGTCCCTGTATAGGACTACCTGACGTGGCGCACCCAGAAAAAAATCAAACAAACTGTGGTCCCCACCAATATCACTGTTTCCCAACTACACCAAAAAAAAAAAAAGAGAAAAGGAAAGAAGAATCTCCTTATTCTCGTGCCACGCAGCTCACTTGACACTCAAATGAGAACTCCACCTCACCTAAACTCTCCCATCTACCCAAATACTATAACTCCACGCATACCAATTTTACAAGTCAAAATTATCAAACTAGTTTTTAGAGTACATAACTATTTTGAAAAATATATTAAAATTTTAACCTTTTTTAAGGTAATATTTTCTTTGTTTTATTGACAACTTCACTATGACTCATCTTATTATAATTATATATAAGCAGTGAAGAATCTACAGCAGCTTAGGAGGGATATTGGAATGTGTTATATTTTTGCCAATAATTTTAAAAATATTTTCAATTTTTCTGTCCTGATAATTAATATGTCCTGATAATCTTTTTTACAAAGAAAATGTTTGAAATTTCTGAAAACTTCCTTCTTTTTTGACTCATAATGACATGATTTGATTTAAAGAAACATATAGAGCTTTTTTGTGATGAATGTGATATTTTTTTAAGTGGATACAGGGTATTGATGATGAATCTATTGTATTTTGTATTTTTGTTGATTTTCTATTTATTATATATTTGGCATGCTTATTTGGACTAAAATAGCCATATAAGGCAAAATTGGCTATTTTAGCAAAATAAGATAAAATTTCACATTCAAACTATAATCATTTTTTTTTTTTACAAAAGTTAAAAAAGCCAAAAAACCTATCCCAAAAGAGATTTTTTAACTCCAAACTAAGGCCTCGTTTGGGAACAGGCTAATTTAGTAATTTTTTGGCTATTTGGCTAAAATATAAGCTAAAAAAACTAGTATGTTTGGGATGACTTTTTGACTTTATACGAAAAGATGTGCAAAAAGCAAAAAGAAAAAAAAAATCTTTGACTTTTGGTATGAGTTGTTGCCTTTTTGACTTTTTTAGTAATTTTTTGACTTTTTGACTAAACCGGCCTGTTGCCAAACGAGACTTAAAATAGCCCAAAAGTCGACCCCATCTCAAACAACAAAATAAACTTTTAGTCCAATAAGATAAAATATCACATCTAACCCATAATCATCATTTTTTTTTTTTTACAAAAGTTAAAAAAGCCAAAAAACCTATCCCAAAAGAGATTTTTTAACTCCAAACTAAGGCCTCGTTTGGGAACAGGCTAATTTAGTAATTTTTTGGCTATTTGGCTAAAATATAAGCTAAAAAAACTAGTATGTTTGGGATGACTTTTTGACTTTATACGAAAAGATGTGCAAAAAGCAAAAAAGAAAAAAAAATCTTTGACTTTTGGTATGAGTTGTTGCCTTTTTGACTTTTTTAGTAATTTTTTGATTTTTTGACTAAACCGGCCTGTTGCCAAACAAGACCTAAAATAGCCCAAAAGTCGACCCCATCTCAAACGCAGGCTATATCAACTTATCATTGTTTATATGAGACAAAAAAAAAGTGGGTAAATTACACTCACCTCCCGTAATGGTTGAAGAAAATATATTTAACTCCACACCTTTGAAATAATTGTCCTATATCCTTTGAGATTATTGTTCATTACTAATTCTTTAGTAATATGAATGGAAAAAAAATGATGTCATCTATTTATTACTAAAATGTTTATTTATTTTTATTTATTTCAGTATTTATCCACCATATGCATTTGTTTCAGTCAATTTAACCTTATTAAAAGAAAATTCTATGTAATTATATCAAAAATATGAAATTAATTGTATTTTTTTAAATCTCAAGTAAGATTAGCATAATTTACCATAAAAAAGATTATACGGTGGTTATTAATGATGGTTTCTCTGAATTAATTTTTAGAATAATCTATATATACATATTAACGGGCCATTCAAAAAAGGGTCTGACTAATGATAAACCGACCAAATTGCGGATGTGATCGTGGGTCCCCCTTACTTCACCCAATTGTTTGAGGGGAAACTACGTATTAGTGTTTTTCAAGAAATGAAAATTCTAATATACGCACTTGCACCATAGTATTTTTTCAATAATATATATATCAAATTAATAGAAAATTTTATAAATAATAATAATAAAATTAATAATTTTTAATTAATTTGTAAATATTTTGAGTAATTTTTCCTTTTTTAAAGGGTCGCGAACGATGGTGATGCGACTGTGACAACCATCATGAAGCAACGCCGTGACGCTAGCATCCTCCCCGTGCACTCCCAAAATTTCACAACTTTCAACGACACGTGTCCACAAAAAGAGAAATAAATTATGTTGGTAGATGGACCACTACAAGTACGCTACGTGTCATCCCTTGTCCTAAGCAATCATATACATATGCAATAAGAAAATGCTAATAAATGATTAAATGTTTAAGTTATTTATTTAATAAAAAATTTGAGATGTATAACATTTTTCTACATAATATATGTGCATACACTCCCCAAAATAAAAACAAATTATACATAAAAATAAAATATTACTAATAAATCTTTTGTATTTAGTACCAATTTATAGGCGTCGTTTGGCAAACTTGACTTTTTAATTTTTTTTTTAAACATTTTTTAATCTGAGACTTCTTTCTCTGTTTAATTTTTTTGCTTGGCTTTTTTTGCATTGGAATGACAAAATTATCCTCCACTTGAAAATAATTTTTTTTGAATTTTTGTTTGTATATGGGTCAATTTAGTAATTTTGCATCAAAAAAAAGTGTTTTGTCATTTTGTGATTTTGTTTTTTTTTTTTTTGTCCATATGTGCTTATTTAGTCCCAATTCAAAAACCAAACCGGGGCATAGGATAAAATAATTAATACAGATTTTCTTAGTTAAGCCTAATTTTTTTAATAATTAATTAATGAATAATAAGGAATCATGCTAAAAACAATTTACTTGTTAAAATAAAAATGTGTTTCGATTTTTTTTAATATTTTTTTTTTGTTGATTTTTCATGTTTTAGTGAAAAAATAGAATTTTTAGCAAATTTACTTTCTAAATTTTTTGAATTTTTTTACAGTTTGTAGAAAAAAAAAATTGATTTTTTGGATTTTATTAGCATTTTTCCTTTACACAATTTACTAAAAAAAATTTAAAATATACGACTTTTTTCACACTCATTATATTTTTTCCCAATAAAATGTCAATATATTTTTAGACTCATTATAAAATGGTGTAAATTACATTTACAACCCGTTTGGATTTAATACATATTGATGATATTTGAAAAATTACACTAATTTTCTATCATTCTAATTATTTAGAGGGAATTAATGTTGGTATAAAAAGATATTAAATTCACGTTTTAAAATATATATATATATCGAATTCATCCATCCTCTCTTATTTTACAACTTTTCTTTTTTTTTCTTTTTCTTTTTTTTCCCTTTGCTTTATGTAATTTCTATAACATGGTTACATGGAGCGGATATAATCGGACCAAACCTTGGGTGTCAGTAGTCAATATATTTTTCATATTTTTATACGATATTAGAAACATTAAAAAAAATCAAAAAAATACATATTATATGAATTTTTTTTTGAAAAATTAAAAAATTCACAGTACCTGAGAGCCACCGTGGCCATCATAAACGGCGAAGAAATGGAGGGGCGAGATCTCGCCGGAGCTTCGAGAACCAGGGGCGGTGCACCCTCCCACGTGATCGCACGTGTGAGTCATGAACCCAGGCACGACGGCGACGGCGTCCTCCATCTCTCTCCTCCTCCCTATCACCGACGTGAACCCCCACGTCACTCCCTTGTTGTTCCTCCCCACGCACTTCACTCTCCCCGAAACCGCCACAGCCGCCGCCTCCGGCACCGGCGGTCCCACCACCAGTCGCGGCGGCACCGCCAACAAGGCCGAAGGAATCTCGCCGGAACTACTGCTCGCGGCGGAGATGTCGCCGGAGCTACTCGGAACGTCGTCGCTGCCGAAGATCGACGACACGGTCGAACTCGTCGAGGCCAAATCGAGAACCGAGTCGACTTGGTGAAGGTCCTCGTCTTCTAATTGCTCCGTACTGTCCATCTCAGACCTCACATTCACCACCGAACCTTTGAATTTGGAGATGGTGAACAGAGAACCAAAAACAGAGGAGAGGTTTTAGAGAGAGAGAGAGAGTGAGAGAGTAAGGGGCGAGGAGGGAGGGGATAAAAGAAGGGGAATGGGACAGCTAAGGAGTCGACACGTGTGAGTAGATATGAGAGTTTGATGACACGCATTTGTAATTTCGTAGTATACGTTTGTTATTTACAATTTTTTATTTATAAAAAATAAACATGTTTATTTATGTTTTTTATAAGTTACTTTAAAAATAGAGGTGGATGGTTGTGATAGGGCTGCTCACGACCACGAGTCATCCGTCAAAATCAACCGACTTTATTCATTTGTTTTTGAATAATATTTGAGGGCTCGAAATTTTTTCTTTCTAATCTCTTTAGGCATCGTTTGGGAAGGTGGGTTGGAGGCTTTTTTGGCTATTTTAGCCACAAAAAACAAAATAGGCTATTTTAGCCATAACAAACAAAACATCACATCCAACCCATAATCATTACATTCTTCTCTCACAAAAAAACTCAAAAAAGCCAAAAAGTCAAAAAGCCCTTCCCAAACCAAGCTTTTAAGCCCAGGCTAAAATAGTCAAAAAAGTCAAAAAGCCAAAAAGCCAACCCACTTCCCAAACGGAGGCTTAATGTTTAAAATGATGTCGTTTTGGGTATTTTTTTTTCTTTTTCCTTTGTCTTCTTCATGCAGCTCTGAGACCGGGAGAGGGAGAGAAAGAGAGAGAGAGAGGGAGAGGCAGGTCGCAACTCGTCGCCGTCGTAAAGAAGAGCTTGTCCCCGGGATGTCGCAGCTCATCGTCCCCGTCATCGTCCAGCCCAGCCTGATCGTCGCCCAGCCCAACCCCGCCTCTGCCCAGCCCCGCCTCCGCCTCCGCCTCCTCCTTCCCTGTGATTGTGGCCCCCTCCAGTTCCTCTCCTTCTCCTTCCTCCTTCCTTCTCTTCTCCTTCTTCCTCTTGATTTTCTGCTTCTGAAACAAAAAAAAAAAAAAATTAGGGGGATTCGGGGAGCTCATTTTCGAGCTCCCTAGCACGACCGTTTGTTTTTAAACGACTTTGATAATAGGATGCAGCTTGCATTTAGTGCGAGATTGGATTGAATAGTATTATTTGTTCTGTGAAGATTCATTACGGATTTCGTTTTGATAATTTGAACATTTTAATAAATAGAATTCGTTGAGTACTATAAATTTGTAAAAAATCACATTGATCAGATATCGATAGTTATGTGATCAAATCAATTTTGTATAAAAAAAAATAAACAGTGAACAAATTAACGGTTGACAAAAAAACTAATCTAATGAAATAATTATCGATATCCGATCAACATGATTTTTTACAGACATATAATATTTGACGAGTTTACATATTAAATAATTTGAATCCAGACGGGGAGGCAAGTTGCTCCCTTGATAATATGTGAATGAATGTGGATGAAATTTTTTTAAATTCACCTATAATAAATGACAAATTAGGAGTCACTAGACTCAATTTAACTCGTCAATTCTCCTTTAAAAAAATAAGGTGACATTTTTATATTTCATATGTTAAAAATTGATATTTTATTTAATAATAATATTGACTACTTCTGAAATAGGAAAGTTTGTCATTTATTTTAATTATAAAAAGTGAAGAATATAAAATTTTGGACTCAAATAAAGCCTAAAATAGTAAAAGAAAATAAAATAAAAAAGTAAAGTCCAAACCGTCAAAATTGATCTGCATTCATTTACCAACCCACATGGCCCATTAAATCGGGAACGGATCGTCGGTCGCCCTTCCCTGTCGCCTTTTCCTGTCGCCCCCAAAACGACGTCGTTTTGGGGGCGAATTTTCAAAAAAAAAAAAGGAGAGGAAGAGAGAGGGAGGAAGGAGGAGGAGGAGGAGGGGAAGGGCCGGACTGGAGGGGGTCATAAATACAGGGGAGGAGGAGGAGGAGGTGGAGACGGGTCAGAGGCGGAGGTGACGGCGGTCGCAGGTGCTGCGACGAGGTGGAGCTGCTGCGACGGCTGCGATGGCGGCGAGGGACGAGGACGGCGAGCTCGCAGCCTCCTCCTCCTCCTCCTCCCTCCTCCCTCCCTCTCCCTCTTCCTCTCCTTCCTCCCTCTTCTCTGCGTTTTTTTTTTTTTGAAAATTTGCTCCCAAAACGACGTCGTTTTGGGGGCGACGAGTGATCCGAATTCCATTAAATCTGCATCCACTAACTAAACGAATGAATATAAATTATTATTTTAATCCGTCAAAATTTAAACGAATAGCGAATAAAAAATCACCTAATTTAACCCAATCCGTAACCATCCCTAATTGGTGGTGGCGACTACCAGTGGCATGAGGTGAAAAACATGCCGAAGGTGGGAGGTAGTGCCTTCCTTCCAAAAAGATTAGCCGTAGAGATGCTATCACGCAACGATAGTTGGAACGATGTGACTGTAGTAATGGTTGATCATTGAAAAAAAAAAAAAATTAAAATACGTGAAAGCACCATTTATGTTTATATTATTTAATTATTTTTTTTTGTATTTTTAAATATATAAATAGACACTAAATAAATTTTTGTTTTAACTTTTAAAATATTCTATAAAAAAACGAAAAAGAAAATATATGTGTGGCATGGGGCTTAGGCTTTTTTCTTCTTTTATTTTTTAAGAGGGGTAAAACCCAACATCAAGAAGCATGTGGCTTTTAGTTAAGGGAAAATGTCTCGTAACTCAAATTTTGTGGCTCAAAAGTGGTTCAAATGGCTAAATTTTGTGGCTTAAAAGTGGTTCAAATGGCCAAAACGACGTCGTTTTGGCCATTTTTATATTGTTCTGTACTCAAAACGACGTCGTTTTGGCCATTTGAGCTACTTTTGAGCCATAAAATTTAAACTACGTAGCATTGTCGTTAGTTAAGAGTAGTGTTTTGATTTTTAAAGTTTTAGGGCTTTTAACATTTTGAATTATAAAAGGATGTTTAAATGTGCCATGAACCTCATAAAAATTAATTAAAACAAATTATTCCATTAAAAGCATTTGAAGGTGCAATAGATCCATAAAGATCAATTAAAACAAATCCTCTCACTAAATTACACTTTGAATTATGAAAGGATATTTAAATGTGTCACCGACCTCACAAAATATCAATTAAAACAAATTATTCTATTAAAATATTTGACAGTGCAATTGATCCATAAAGATCAATTAAAACAAAACATCTTACTAACAAGTGCTTCTAAGGTATAAGTAAAAGACCAAAAAAAAAAAAAATTAAAGAGCACAAGATAATTTTTACTAAATTTAATGTAATTTTATTAAAATCAATACACTTTTTAAACAATTTTACATATTTTCAAGAGTTTCTTTTACATATTTCTTAACATTAAACAATGCCCATAGGGCACTTGTTATCCTTTGCCTAAAACAATGTCTCCTAAATTTAATCAATTTTAGCGATTTCCCTTAAATTGCATTATCTTTAAAGGTGTGAGTTGTTATTTTGAATATCTTTCAAGTAGGGCTAAATCAGGAAACAAAAATCAAACCAATTCAAATCAAATTGCACGGCTTGATTTCTTTTTCTCAATATATAATTAGGTCGTAGTTCATAAAAAAGGGATCATTACTTGACGATTTCAATCCATGATTTTATAGTTACAATTCTTATTTAAAACAAAATTGAACAGTTTAAATATACATATGCGTACACACAATATATATATATATATATATAATTTATTACTATGGGTAAACTTTAAGTTAGGTGTCTCATTTTCATACATAAGTGGCTAATCTTCCATTCAACAATGATAGAGACCACTAATTTTAGAGCTCTAAAAGACAACTAATGACATGGCACTCAATAAAAAAAGAAAAAAAATACAACACCAAGGCCAAAACATCAAATCATTCCTGGTGGGACCCACTGCCACATCATTAGTGATAACACTAATTAGTGCTCTCACTCATTTTCCATCTTCCATTATTGCAATTGTTTTTTGGGTCATGTTGTTGTACACACTGTTGAAAAAGTGTGTGCTTTTATTATGCATTTTTGTAGATATTGTGTATTTTTTTTATTGAAGCTATTACAATTTGTAGTTTATAAATAAAATTACACATTTTATGATAATGTTATATATTTTTATAATAATATTACATAATTTTTTATCCAAATATTTTTTAACAACAAAATATATAACAATACCACAAAGTATGTAGAATCACCACAATAATGTGTACTTTTATTTTTTAATCAAAAATAGTTGTAACTTCTATTAAAAAAAATATATAACATTCATTATAAAATTACCTAACATATATCACAAAAGTACAAAATAAGGTGAATTTAGTACACACCTTATAGAATTTACCTATATTAGCCCCAGATGTTTGGGAATTGCTCGTTTGGTGACTTTTTTAATTTATTTTCATCTTTAGTGAATTTTTAAAAGAAATTTTTAAAAAAATTAAATTTTTAGATTCAGTTTGATAAGGCAATCCAAAAAATTAAAGAAAAAAATCCAAAAGAAACAAAAAATGGTATGGTTTATTTTTGATTTTTTCAATGAATTTTTTTAAAAAAATTAATATTTAGCTTCATTTATAAAAAAAATGGAATGAAAAGAAAATTTGACATAATTTATATATAAAAAAAATAAAAATAAAAATAAACTTTTTAAAAGGTTCACAAACACTATGCGCAACCAAAATTTAATAGAGCCGTACTCGGCTGCTTTTTGCTACACTGCTACGTGTCCATCCCTCCTCTGTGGTGGTGTCATGCTATGTTGTTGGGTCAATGTCTCGGTTGAATTATTGAAAGGCACAAAAATTCTCCACAAGTTATTTTTGGAGGTTTTGAATTGAAATGATACTTTGCCGTGTCGGTTCCGATTCGTAGCTCGAAAGTTGTGGTTTAACTGTGGCTCGTTTTGATCCTCTTTTTTTTTTTTTCTTTCTTTTCTTTTCTTTTTCTTATTTTCAAGTCCATCTTCTTCATCTGTCCAGTTGTAGGTTGTTATCCGATTCAAGAATAAGTCAAAAGCAAGTTTTCACGGTACGAACGCCTTGTACAAGATTATCATGCAACGGGAGGTGGAGGTGGAGG